TGACTCTGAGTGCAGCTGGCATTGAGCAGCACAGATCTAAACCTATAAATGTCCCCTATATGTCTCCCCCCACCGCTGTGGTGCTTCCCCATCACATACGGGTATGCTGCAGAGAGCATGCTGGGAGCTTCACAGTCCTAGTGCTTGACACACACTGTCACTTTCACCTCTGTTATTCTGGGTACGTCAGATGTCCTGTCCCAACCTCAATTTTCTTATATGTGCAGTAATTTAGATGAGGTATTCTGGAAGGTCAGAATCCAAAGAACACGTTATCATTAGGGATTATGGAGAGTGAATGTGGTGACTATTTAAAGTGCAAAAATGTACCGAGATTATCATCCTTCTTTCGCACATATCTAACTATGCATCTGGACACCACATACTCTATGAGTTCTCCTCTACTTTGAACCACTCCTCCCTGAAGAAGAAAGACCTTCTAACTTTCTCTGAAGAATGTGATCCCCTTTAAAATTATCAGGCCCAGAAAAGTATCTAAAATATAACGGCAGTCAGGTCTCACTCCCCCTTGAGCTAAATAATTATCTCTTGAAGCCCCTCGCCATGCAGCTCTAGGCTAATTGAAGCCAAATGGCCACAAAAACGCCAAACATCCTGTACTTCAGCAATGAATAGCCAATCGCTAACCGATGCCAATTCTCTAGACCAATGAGAGTTCCTAATAAATAAGTTTTGTAATCACACCTTCTCCTGATCTCTTTTTTTCTTTATAAATATTCTCCAGAGCACTCCCCAAGGCAAACTGATGATGTATCCTGGGCTGCAGTTCTCAAACTTGGCCCAAATGACAGAGGATTTTTCTTGGCCCCTTTGCCGGGCATGCAGTAGGAGGCACCCCATCTACTGGGCCTGCCAGGCCACTCCGGTGCAGATCCCACAGCAGCTGCTACTGCATGCTCAGGCCCTGGTGGGAGGGGGTGTGTGAATGAGTAGTGTGGGGTCCGGCCAGCCATTCCAAATGGTGGCACAGGGGCAGGCTCCATGCAGGGTTTGTAGCTGGACCAGGTATGTCACCCCAAGGGGAATGCAGTGGTTCCCAGGCAGGGGTGCCCATGACCCCAAAGGCCCCAAAGGGTGTTACAATGTGCTCATTAGCTCTTTTAGTCCCACCATCCACAGCCCAACAGTGACATGTTAGCAGCTCATTCAGCCCCTTGCCCCATTGCAGCCCACAGCTCTGGGGCCAGCTCAGCCCCATTACTACTTCCCATCACGTGAGGCAGCTGCCCTCCGCCAGTGGAGGGCAGAGGGCCACAGTGTTACAGCCTTATGAGTACCCATGTTCAGTGAGTCTGCAGTTCTTGTCCCACATCGAAGAGGAATGAGGTCACACTGGCAACGTAGGGGTGGTGAGGGCAGAGAATTTTATTAAGTGACAAAACAGCTCTCAGCAGAGAGGAGATGGGAAGGTGGTCTCCTCCATTGTGGCTAAGTCTGAGGTTTTTATAGGCACAGGATGGGGGAGAGGCAGGCCATAGGTAGTATCAGAAAAGGCAACATTCAATTGGTCAAAAAGCATTATTCAGAAAGAACCCATAGGAAAAGGGTGGGCAAATAGGAACAGAAGTTCTCACTCTGGGTCACAGGTTTCATCCAGAACCAACAGTCCAGTCTTACAGACTTCAGGCTGTTTTTGGCTTGAAGGTGGGGTTTCATTGGGGACCCACCCCTATAGGCCTAGGCATTTTGTCTGCCTCCTGCTATCACAAATAACTCTGATTATTAATTTTGCCTCAGCTTCTTCCTTTAAGTTGACATCCCCTTTGTGATACAGCCAGCCTATCAGCTCTATACCATCTCTTCCTTATCTAGATGTCACCCTTCCCTGAAAGATTCCTTCTCCAGAAGCTTCCTCTCTCCCAAACTCCTCCAACTGTGTGTGGGGGGTGGGGGAGGGGGAGCTAGCAACTCATTTATTGATCTGCAACTCTGTGCCAGGTCCTCCGCCAGGAGCATGAACTACTCCATCTTTTTTAATCCTCCTAACTCCCCTGAAAGGTAGATAGCATCCCACTTCCTCACAGCTAGGGAAAGGGAGTCTCTAATCACAGCAAGAGCTCTGATGTTCCACCCCAAATCCAAAGCCTGTGTCTGACTCTCCCTGCCTCCCATTTCAGCACCCCTCCACTTCATCCCAAGGGCACTAAGTGCAGTCAGCAGGTTCCTGCCCGCCTGTTCACCACTGGACATAGGCCCTGAGGCCCTACAACGAGTGTGTACTGCATGAGTAAGCCCTAAACCATCAACCAGAAAGGATTTTCTTTTGTTTGCTTCTTTTTTGAGACGGACTCAGGCTGGACCGCAATGGCATGATCTCAGATCACCACAACCTCCGTCTCCTGGGTTCAAGTGATTCTCCTGCCTCAGCCTCCCAAGTAGCTGGGATTACAGGAATGCACCACCACGCCCGGCTAAATTTTTGTATTTTTAGTAGAGACAGGGTTCCTCCATGTTGGTCAGACTGGTCTCGAATTCCTGACCTCAGGTGATTCGCCCACCTCAGCCTCCCAAAGTGTTGGGGTTACAGGCGTGAGCCACCGCGCCCAGCCTAGGATTTTCTAACAAGGTCATGCCCCGCCCCTGCTTCAACCCCCTCCTTCAATGACCCCACTGCTCACCAAATTAAGCCAAAATTACCCAAGGCCCTCATCGTCATTAGCCACCTTCTCCACAACTCCCTGTGCTTTGCTACCTCTGGGTCCTCTCTGACTTTTAAAGCCTTCAAAGAATTTAGCAGGAAGATAGTTTTGTTAAAAATCACCTGGCCCTAAGGTCATCTCTGGTGAGAATAGCTGAATGCAAATTAAACTGACTCCTGATAATAATAGTATGCCCTAAGGCAACCTGCAAATGTGGAATCTCCAGTACACACAGAGACTGAATTAGAATCTGCATCTTAAGGCTGGGCACTGTGGCTCACACCTATAATCCCAGCACTTTGGGAGACCAAGGCAGGTGGACCACTTGAGCTCAGGAGTTCAAGACCACCCTGGGAAACACGGCAAAACCCTGTCTCTACCAAAAATACAAAAAATTAGCCAAATCTGGTGGCACACGGTCACGGTCCCAGCTAGTAGAGAGGCTGAAGTGAGAGAATCGCTTGAGCCTGAGAGGTGGAAGATGCAGTGAGCCGAGATCATACCACTTCACTCCAACCTAGGTGGCAGTGAGTCTCCAAAAACAAAATCTCCATCTTAATAAGATTCCTAAGACCGGTTCTCAACCTTGAATCCCCTAGAGAGCTTGCCCGGCCTGGGTGCCACCCCAGTTGTAATTGGTATGAGAAGGCCTCACCCATTTAAACCTAGTCATTCAGTGACGGAACACTACCCTGACAGAGTACCAAAGACCCAGCTCTCATACTGCTAAGAGGTAACTTTTTAGAACCTGGGGGAGGGAGGGAGGAATGTGACACCATTAACTTGAGAAGCTTTTTTCTCTTTGAAAAGCAAGTCACTTCTAGGCATTTACTCCATAGAAACACTGCACTTTTGCACCATCGTGAAATGATATGAAGTGGTCACAAGCTTTATTCAAGTCAAATGGTCCCCTGATATGAGATGAAATTACAGTATACCCACATATGATGAAATGCTAGTTATCTGAGAAGGATACACAGAAAAACAACCAAAATACCCTGTTCAGGTAAAAAAAAAAAAAAAAAAAAAGTTGCAACACATATAAAAAGGATAACTTTTAAAAAATGATAAATATTAGTATATGCACAGGGAACACGCCGTTTTGAAAGGGAAGTATAAAAGACGTATCTTTTAGATGTATTCTTTTTATAACTTCTGGTTTTCTGTAGATTATAGCTGAAATGCTCTTAGAAAACACATGGAACAGGCCGGGCACAGGGTCTCACGCCTGTAAACCCAGCACTTTAGGAGGCCGAGGCAGATGGATCACCTGAGGTCAGGAGTTCGAGACCAGCCTGACCAACATGGTGAAACCCTGTCTGTACTAAAAACACAAAAATCAGCCAGGTGTGGTGGCGCAGGCCTATTGTCCCAGCTCCTCGGGAAGCTGAGGCACAAGAATCGCTTGAACCTGAGAGGCGGAGGTTGCAGTGAGCTGAGATTGCACCATTGTACTCCAGCCTAGGTGACAGAGCAAGACTCTATCCCAAAAAAAAAAAAAGAAGAAAAAGAGAACACATGGAATAAAGAAGAGTCTTAAAAAGGTTAAAAATGTAACTGATAATACTGCAGTAATAGTACAGTGACATGGGGAATAAAGAAATCTTGTATATGAAGAACGTGAGCCCCTTTAAACTATCAGGCCCAGGTCAGGCATGGTGGCTGACACCAGCACTTTGGGAGGCCGAGTGGGGGGGATCACCTGAGGCCAGGAGTTCAAGACCAGCCTGGTCAACTTAATGAAACCCCATCTTTACTAAAAATACTAAAATTAGCCAGGTGTGGTTGTACACACCTGTAATCCCAGCTACTCAGGAGGCCGAGACAGGAGGATCATGTGAGCCCAGGAGGTGGAGGCTGCAGTGAGCTAAGATCACACCACTGCACTGCAGCCTGGGTGACAGAGAGAGACTCCGTCTCAAAAAATAAATAAATAAATAAAAACTAAATTATCAGGCCCAGAGAGGCGTTAGAATGAAACTGTAGTCAGGTCACTCTCTCCCAAGCTAAATAATTACCTCTTGAAACCAAGTATCTATCAAATGCCATACACCCTACAGTTCAACAGCATACAGCCAATCACTAACCAAGGTTAGTTCTGTAAACCAATGAGAATTCCCGACAAACAACTTTTGTAATCACCCCTTCACCTTGTGTCAGTAGAGGGCATAAGAGCAGCTGATCTATCCTTTTTTCTTTAAAAAATGTTCTCTGGAGAACTCTCCAGGGCAACCTGGAAGTGTGTCCTGAGCTGCAGTCCCCAGCCTTGGCCCACCTAAACATTCAGTATTAATTTTGCCTCAGCTTCTTCTTTTTAAGGTTAATACTCATCACAAAACAGACATCTGAAATATAAGCTTTATTTTAAATTTAAAGAAATATTGAAAATAAACATTTTTTACAAATTATAATCAAGCACTCAAACATTTTAGGAATGTTAAACACTAATTCTTCATTCAAAATAATGACATCCATAGAATACAACCCTGGTGTTGGCCAATATGAAGTTTACTTAATGTTAGTATTTTACATACATTTAACCGTTAATCCTTCCTAAAATTCAATAACAATGATTTCATTTTATAAGGTGAAGCCTTTTATGTAATACCCCAGAGATAACTTTTTCAAATATGAAACACTTATACCAGTGAGGAAATTATAAAAACATATATAAATTATACTGAAGAACTTGATTTAGAGGCTGTTTGTATATAGATGCATTTCACTTAGAAAGTACACATGCACATCAAAACACTTTCACTGAATATATATGCCATTACATTCTCTTAGTTACATTACAAAGCAAATGGCAGGGTCAGAAACGTTGTTCTATTATGTATCAACTGAAAAAAACATATATTCCAAAAAAAAAGTTTTTGAAGACTCATGGGAGTGGAATGTGCCCACATTAAGAACAAAGCTTTTACAGGACCACCTGTCTCCAACTCGCTCTGAAAACAGCTGGCTACCCTCAGAAAGACAAGATGGACTTGTTAATAATTTCAATGGACTCTCGAAGCTCATCCTCCTTGATCACCAGCGGAGGCGCAAACCTGATAATGTCACCATGGGTTGGCTTGGCCAGAAGTCCATTATCTCGAAGTCGTAGACACACCTTCCAAGCATCACAATCTAAAGAAAAATAGTAAAACATACGTGCTCAAAGATAAATGTTTAAACATCCCTTGCCATATGTATGGGCAAAGTGCAGCCTGGCAAAACAAAATTCCCAGAACTTGCTCAAATAAGGGAAGCTTGCGCTGGGAGTGGTGGCTTACACCTGTAATCCCAGCACTTTGGGAGGCCGGGGCGGGCAGATCACAAGGTCAAGAGATCAAGACCATCCTGGCCAACATGATGAAACCCCGTCTCTACTAAAAATACAAAAATTAGCTGGGTGTCATGGCGCGCACCTGTAGTCTCAGCTACTCGGGAGACTGAGGCAGGAGAATCGCTTGAACCCAGGAGGTGGAGGTTGCAGTGAGCGGAGATCGCGCCACTGCACTCCAGCCTGGTGACAGAGCAAGACATCATCTTAAAAAAAATTTTTTTTAAATAAAAAAGGAAGGAAAGCTTGGAGATGCAAGCTTGGTTTGTTTTTACTCCTAAAAATGAAGTTCCTTTTCACTTTTCAGCAAGCACATAACTAGGTTTGAATTATATGATTAGACATATCATAGTGTTTCATAAATGAAAAAGATCAGGCCAAAAAAAAAGACAAACAAAAGTGCTAAGGCTGCTGTATTAATCACACAAGGAACTAATGCAAAAGAACTTGGGTATGGGCTGGGCACGGTGGCTCACACCTGTAATCCCAGCACTTTGGGAGGCCGAGGTGGGCAGATCACGAGGTCAAGAGATCGAGACCATCCTGGCCAACATGGTGAAACCCACCTCTACTAAAAATACAAAAATTAGCTGGGCGTGGTGGCACATGCCTGTAGTCCCAGCTACTCAGGAGGCTGAGGCAGGAGAATCGCTTGAACCCAGGAGTAGAGGTCGCAGTGAGCCAAGATCACGCCACTGTACTCCAGCCTGGCGACAGACACTCGAGCCCCACAGAGCGAAACTCTGTCTCAAAAAATAAATAAATAAAATAAATAAAATTTTAAAAAAGAAAAAAAGGAACTTGGATATGATACAGATGATTAACTAACATAAAATAGGCAATACTCAAAACCCAGTGAACACTACACATTCTGAAAAGGGACTCGCTTCCCGAGCTCAACATTTTATGGCAACGATTCTCAACCTGGCTACACATCAGAATCACCTTAAAGGCTATTGCTAATGCCCGTGCCCCACCCTAGATGCGTCAAATCAGAATCCCTGGGGTAAGGCCAGGCTTTGACTCATTTTTTTAAAAAGCTCCCCAGGTGATTCTTTAAGTGCAGCCAAGGTTGGGAGGTTGGAATAGTTGCTTTAAAAGGAAGAGTTATCACAAGAAAATCCAGCAAGGAACACTTAAGGGTTATAATGGATGTACTAAAACACCCAATTAAGTGACAGCCAGCATTACTTTTATTATTGACACCATCACTGTCATTCATGTCATTATTACTGCTGCTCCTATAACCTCTACTGACACAAAGCATGAAAGCGAGGGAGGGAAGGATAGCAAAGAGGATCTAGTCCAGACTCACCAACAAAAAAACTTGAACTCTCTAAATACTGCCTGACTAACTTAAGGCAGAAAAACAAATGTCTTAAAGGAACAAGAGTCAAATTAGTTAAATGTGCCTTCATTTAGAAAAGAGCTATATTTTTTATACTCTTAATGTAATTATAAATCAGACAATAATCTATCTAAAAGGCTTGGCCATTTATGTCAGTCAACAGTTTCAAACAGAACCAACAACCAATTAAAATCCCAGTGTGGCTGGGCACGGTAGCTCATGCCTGTCATCTCAGCACTTTGGGAAGCCGAGGCGGGCAGATCACGAGGTCAGGAGATCGAGACCATACTGACCAACATGGTGAAACCCCGTCTCTACTAAAAATACAAAAACTACCTGGGCATGATGGCATGTGCCTATAATACCAGCTACTTGGGAGGCTGAGGCAGGAGAATCACTTGAACCAGGGCACTGGAGGTTGCAGTGAGCCGAGACGGCACCATTACACTCCAGCCTGGTGACAGAGCAAGACTCCATCTTAAAAAAAAAACAAAACAAAAAACAAGTGTAGCTGGGCATGGTGGCTCACGCCTGTAATCTCAGCACTTTGGGAGGCCAAGGCAAGCGGATCACAAGGTCAGGAGTTCGAGATCAGCCTGGCCAATATGGTGAAACCCCCTCTATTAAAAATACAAAAATTAGCCGGGCGTGGTGACACGCACCTGTAATCAATCCCAGCTACTCAAGAGGCTGAGGCAGAGAACTGCTTGAACCCAGGAGGCAGAGGCTGCAGTGAGCCAAGATCGCACCACTGCACTCCAGCCTGGAAGACAGAGCAAGACTCCATCTCGAAAAATAAATTAATTAATTAAATAAAATACCAAGTGTATTTTAGGTCTTTCTAAAAAAATTATCTTGAGTAAATGTTTTATCTCCATACCTTTGGTTTCTTTAATAACAATAGCGTTTAACAATCCTTTTCCTCTTACGGCAGTTACAACATCAGAAGGTAGCTTCATGAGTTCATTTCTCAAGATAATGCCCAATTTTTCTGCATTTTCAGCAAGATTTTCTTCTTTTAAAACCTACATTTAAAAAAAATTATATAAATGTTAAGACTGTCCTTTTTTTTGTTGTTCTTTGGAGGACAACGGGGACTGTAAGCACAGGAAAAACATGACTAAAGACCAGAGGAACTTAACTTTCATTGCTATTTTTCAAAGCCTGTATTAATTTCTAATTAAACATACACTAGCTCAGAGCCTTGCCTTTGTCACAAATCTATTGCCAATCATTCATGGCAAAATAAGGATTAAAGATTATTTAATCCAACTCACATACTGTCATTAATTGAATACGTCAATGGAGGAAATGTAGTTCTTAAACTGCAATAGTTTCTTCCCCTCCACAAAGATCTATCCTCAGAGATTACATAATAATTGCATGCCTTCAGCAGGCACTTAAAAAAATCAGTCTGAAAACATTATAAATCCACACTTAAAAGAAGACTTGCTTGCTAAGCAAAAAGACAGGGCTGGCAGGTGGGTCACAGTTGAGAGTTCTGTGAGGGCCAGCCAGGGCCGAAGAACCCAAAGCACCAGGTGTCTGTGAACTCAGGAAGCCCACGGAGGAAATCCAGTCTACTAGGCCAAGTTTAAATTACTTTTTGAGAATATCTTGTTCCTAAAATTTTTCTTCTGTACTTCATGTTTTCTAATATTTGGCATTCTTATTGAATGTCTTATTATACCAGTGGGCCCAAATTAAAAATCACTTCAACATTGCTTTAAAGAATAGACGTGGTGTGGCTGTGTCAGCTTTTACCTCAAGGGCTGCGATGGCCACTCGGCAGCCTAGTGGATTGCCACCGTATGTAGATCCATGCTCCCCTGGTTTAATGGTCAGCATTATGTCATCATCACATAGCACTGCCGACACCTGAAAGATGGTCAATTCACCACGTCATTTCTCAGCACTAAGCATTCTACTAAGCATTCTTATCCCCCAGAGTCTCGCTGTCACCCAGGTTGGAGTGCAGTGGCGTGATCTCAGCTCACTGCAATCTCTGCCTCCCAGACTCAAGCAATTCTCCTGCCTCAGCCTCCCAAGTAGCTGGGATTACAGGCGCCCAGCACCACACCACACACGCAAAATTTTTTTTTTTTTTTTTTTTTTGTAGTTTTGGTAGAGATGTGGTTTCACCAAGTTGGCCAGGCTGGTCTCAAACTCATGACCTCAGGTGATCTGCCTGCCTCAGCCTCCCAAAGTGCTGGGATTCCAGGCGTGAGCCACTGCACCCAGCCAAGAAGCTGATACTTAATGACTTCAACAAGAGTTTACATCAGCCAGCCTAAAACTACTGGCAACAAACTAAGTCATACCCTAAAACATTACAAATACTTCAGGTACAAATGGCACAAAACAATATACTTTTGCAACTAAAAGAGAAAAGCTATTTCTGCAATGATGTAATTTCACAATTCCTTCCAATGTTGAGATGAAATGCTTTGTTTAAATGCTTAAAAAACAAAGCTGAGCAATTCTTTTTAGCAAAAGTTTTGTCTATTCAGCAAAACCATCTATACTTCAGAGACCTCTGATGCAGTAACAATTACTGGCTCTGAAAGGCAAATCCAAGACATGAACTACAACAAACATTAATTTTTTCAGTCTCTATGTTCACCAGTCATGGTTTTAAACAATTAGTAATACGCCATGCTTCTGAACACTGGAAAAAAGGACAGGAGTCTACAGGAGTCCTTTGAGGATGAATTGTTCCCACCCAAATCCAGTGTCATAGCAAATTCCAAGGCACACTCAATTCTTCAGGCAATAAGTAAGTGGGTCACACACTGGTACCTTAAATGTTTCTATTACAGATATTCCAAGTGGCCTACAGCACACTTGGTAAAATCAAACCATCTGAAAGGCATTATTGTCACAATCAGCTGATGTATAAATACTTCAGGGGTATATTTTACAAGAGTAGGAAATGGAAAGAGGGGGGACATGAAACTTACAGGGTATAAGCCTCCAGAAAGGGCCTTTCCAAGGAGGACTATATCAGGTCTGACATTTTCATAATCAACAGCCAGCCATCTACCAGTTCTGGCCAATCCTGTCTGTATTTCATCAGCAATAAACAGAACCTATTGGGGAAAAAAACTTAACTCCATTAGTGATCATTTTCATTTCCACAGGGAAAATAGCCATCTTTATTCCACTGTCCCCCTACCAACAATAAATGTGTAATTCTGATGTGCCCTCGGATTTGTAAAAATGTTTTAACTACACACACAATTTCAAGACTATTCTATGAGAATCCTGTAGACTCACCAACTATTTCCTTTGTCAGGCCACTCTCTCCCTAGAGGCCCATTCTGCCCTGCTCTACATAGTGAAAAGGTGCTGATGCAAAGCTGAGGGTTTTGTATGGCCTTTCTGGACATAACTACCCTCTGGGAACAAATTAATTTATTTGTTTATTCCACAAACATTTAATATGTGACAAGAACTCTCAAATGGTAAACAAAATACACTACTATCAGCCCTGGGAGAAAGGAGGAGAGAATACAACAAAGGGCTTGGTGGGGCTCACAGTGAAAGGCTCTTAGAGCAGCGAGGAAGGAAACGCTGTTAAGGCCAAATCTGCAGCTCTGCACAGGGCCCAGGACAAGGCCAGAGACAGGAAAAAGTCGTTTCTAAGCACTAGAAAGTACTTAAGCTCTCAGAATGCCATCGCCCTCTAGTGGAAAGTAATTTAAGGGCAGGAGCCCATTCAGTCTTATCACAGGCAGCAAACGTGACAACCTGGTGCCTGGTGCAGAGCTCTCGCACTCCCATTAGGTAACCTGGATCCGGAACAACAACGCCTGCTTCACCCTGAATTGGTTCTACCATGAACGCAGCCACATTTGGATCCTGAAGAGCACGCTGCAAAAGAAATAGGAATAGGTTTTAATAAATCTTCTTTCTACTACACTTGGAAATCTGAAAGCATACACCACATGTATTTTCTATGAAGTATGCAAAACAAGTTTTTGTACTAACATAAATTCTGACTTCACAAGAATTTGAAGTGGAAGACTTCAAATTCACTGCCATTCAATTATCAGAAGCTCCAAACACTTCACCTTTAAGTTACACTAGCCTACATTTCCTTTTTTGCCTCATTCTGTTGCCCAGGCTGGAGTATAGTGGCACAAACAGGGCCCACTAAAGTCTCAAACTCCTGGGCTCAAGGTGATCCTCCTGCCTCAGCCTCCCAAGTAGCTGCACACCAAGCCCAGCTAATTTTTTATTTATTTTGGTTTTTTTAATTTTTTTTGGAGATGGAGTCTCACTCTGTCACCCAAGCTGAAGTACAGCGGCACGATCTTGGCTTACTGCAGCCTCTGTGTCCTGGATTCCAGCAATTCTTCTGCCTCAGCCTCCCGAGTAGCTGGGATTACAGGCACGCACCACCACACCTAGCTAATTTTTTTTGTATTTTTAGTAGAGACAGGGTTTCACCATGTTGGCCAGACTGGTCTCAACTCCTGACCTCAAGCAATCTGCCTGCCTTGGCCTCCCAAAGTGCTGGGATTACAGGCATGAGCCACCGTGCCTGATCCTGATTTTTAAATTTTTTTGTGGAGACAGGCTCTCCCTATGCTGCCCAGGCTGGTCTTGAACTCCTAAACACAAGTGCTCCTCCAGCCCTAGCCTCCCAAAGCACTGGGATTACAGGCATGTACCACCATGCCCAGCCTGTTTTCTAATATATAAATGTAGTATAAATTAAATCTGGCTGGGCACAGCGGTTCATGCCTGTCACCCCAGCACCTTGGGAGGCCAAGGTGGGCAGATCACTTGAAGTCAAGTGTTCAAGACCAGCCTGGCCAACAGGGCGAAACCATGTCTCTAAAGCAAATAGAAAAGTGAGTTGGGTGTGATGGTATGTGCCTGTGGTTCCAGCTACTTGGGAGGCTGAGGCAGGAGGATTACTTGAACGCAAGAGGCGGAGTTTGCAGTGAGATGAGATTGTGCCACTGCACTTCAGCCTGGGCGATAGAGTGAGACTCTGTCTCAAAAAAAGAAATTAATTACTTAAATTAAATCTAAAGTAAATAGCCTTTTAAAGCCAACTTAAGGCTTTCTTTAAAAGCCTTCCACTTCCACTTTAAAAAGCTAGCTAAAAACAGAAATTTTACCTAGCAAGTAAGCAGGTACACCCAAGTTAATTGTTATGAAGGACACACATCTAAAGCAGCTGGCGGGCTGTTCAGAGTACATCACAGAACTCAGCTTTCTCTGTGTTGGAAACTAATTGCTCGCTACTGAGAACAAGTCTGAAATCGTGGCCTAACTTAAGTGAGATAAATTTGCATTACTGTCATATAATGTATTTAGAATTCATATATTCAACAGCTTTAATTTCTATTCACAATGAGCTAAGCACCATGACGCTAGTGAAATACCTCCAGTGCAGGCAGATCATTATAGGGAATGATGTCGAATCCCGGCATAAATGGTCCAAAACCATCGTAACTGGTCGCGTCTGTGGAACTGGAGATAGCAGACAACGTCCTACCCCAAAAGTTTCCATCTAGAAAGGAGAAACAAACAGCGATTATTTCAAAGAAACCCAAAATTCAATAAGCACTATCCCCACAAAACACCACAAGAAGTTTGACTCAAAAAATAAATCAAGGGCTTGCTTTAGTGCACCTTCCGTGGGCTTTCAATTGTTAAAACAAAGTCTGATATTAAACACCATGGCTCCTATGACACAAGACCACTAGGTCTGGCCTTGTAATTCCTATTTTAGTCTATTCTCTCTACTGAGCCTCTTGACTGGAATATATAGCCCCTGCAGATAGATAACTTACTTTTCTTTCAATAATCCCCAACCCAGTAACAAGCCCTAACAATTGAGGTAATTGAGGTCTTCAATGCGAGTTTTCTAGAGAAGGTGCATTTATGATACTGATATGAGAAAGAGAATATCCTTCACAGACAATTAGCAGCTTTCCTTTCAAAACTCCAATACTGCAGGCTAACAACAGAATGCATTTCCAATTTCATTTGGAGAAAAGATCTTCAAGCAATCCAAACATGTTTCCATTTTGCCTTCCTTGATATTATAATCCTTTATGATGCTAAATGACAGAGGTTTCCCTTTCTTCTGGAACATTTTTTATCCATTAATAACGGTGACTGAGGATCTACTATATGAGGCATTGTTTTAGATGTTGGGGAATAGGCCGGGCATAGTGGCTCACGTATGTAATCCCTGCACTTTGGGAGGCTGAGGCGGGTAGATCAGCTGAGGTCAGGAGTTCAAGACCAGCCTGGCCAACATGGTGAAACCCCATCTCTACTAAATATACAAAAATTAGCCAGGCACAGTGGTGCACACCTGTAGTCCCAGCTACTCAGGAGGCTAAGACACGAGAATCGCTTGAACCCAGGAAGCAGAGGTTGCTGTGAGCCGAGATCGCACCACTGCACTCCAACCTGGGTGATAGAGCAAGACTCTGTCTCAAAAAATAAAAATAATAATAATAATAAAGATGTTGGAGAAGCCAGGTGCGGTGGCTCACGCCTATAATCCCAGCACTTTGGGAGGCCGAGGCAGGCGGATCACCTGAGGTCAGGAGTTCAAGACCAGCCTGGCTAACATGGTAAAACTCTGTCTCTACTAAAAATATAAAAATTAGCTGGGCGTGGTAGTGGGCACCTGTAATCCCAGCTACTCAGGAGGCTAAGGCAGGAGAATCGCTTGAACCCTGGAGGCGGAGGTTACAGTCAGCCAAGATTGTGCATTGCACTCCAGACTGCAGACTAGGTGACAAGAGTGAAACTCCGTCTCAAAAAAAAAAAAAAAAAAAAATGTTGGGAAATAGATCAGGATCACAACTGGCAAGATTTCTGTCCTCAGGGAGCTTCCTTTCTAGTAGGGAAAAAACACCTAACATAAACCAGTAAAGTGAGCTGGATAGTTTCAGAGAGGGTTAAATTCAAGAAGGAAAGACACCATGTAAAATAACAGAGAGGTTGGGAGTTTGTGACATCATGAATGTTTTTATCTTCTTACCATCTCTGCCAGCAGCAACTCAATTAATCAGTGCTGGATTATCGTATTTTGGCTTCATCTTGTTTCTAATTACTATTCTTACAAAGCCTCTTTCATCAGCATCCCTTACCTACAAGTAATCTCTTCTTTTACTTGTCCACAAACAATAGCACACTGATTTTGACTAGGTTTGTTTAAGAAGAAATGCACTGATTAGACCATAAGCCTATTTTCTTTCCCCTGCCTAGCCTCAGGAACCTCATCCTCGGTCACTTACCCTGCAGGTATAAGGGACTTACAGTTAGGGACAGTCTTCCTCTGTCTCTCCACCCCACTGACTCACCAGCTGCTTTCAATACTCAGGTGAAAACATCTTTGCACCCTTTGCTATTAAGAAAGAGACTGGACATGGTCTATAAGAATGAAAGTCACCAGAAACACCATTTTTGTTTGCAAGAGACAGTTATGTTGTCCTACAATGAAAGCACAAGATTTTTAAACGGCAAGTTACAGAGTTTTGCAAAGATTTCTTCTTTGGGAATACCAATCTGTCCCCTCAAATACCAATTACCTCTGGCCTTCAGTTGAACTCTGGATTCTATTACGTTATGGGGTTTATCATTTAACTGCATGTGTTCACACGGCAGAATATTTAATGATTTCAATGATCACAAGAATGAACTTTGACCATTATAGCGACAAATCTATACATACCTGTTTTTAAAAAAATAAAGCTTAAAAAACAAGTGAACATCATATAAAGAATCCAACAGTCAAACTACATCTACTCAATTAATTATTAGTCTCCCTAACCAAAATTCAAGTTATTCCTTTCAACCAGTCCCAGAAGCCTAACAAGGGCAATTCCAAGCCTCCTCTTTCCAACAGCTTCTAAGAGGAACATGGCATAACAGCACCTCCAATATCAAGATTCAAACCACACTCTATGTAGGCCATGGCCCCACACTAACTTCACCCAACCCCAGCACCCAACACAAACCCTCCACCAGTAAGACTATCTAATTAACTGGATAACTGCTATAAAAAAAATCTGACAGGCAAATGAGAGGAATAGGGAGTTCAGAAAGAAAAATCCATGCATGAAGAAATAATCTCCAAGAACAGGAAATCCCTCATTAATTGTTATGAAACATTCAGCAAATACGTACCATGTACCAGGCAAAACATATTACAAGTATTTCATCAGTAAATTAAAACAATAAATTATATATATGTTTTTTATATATAAAATATATAAGAGTGTGTGTGTGTGTGTGTGTATATATATATATTTTTTTTTTTTTTAAATAGAGACAGGGTCTCCCTATGTTGCCCAGAAGGCTGGTCTTGAACTCCTGGGCTCAAAGAATCCTCCTGTCTTGGCCTCTCAAAGTGCTAGGATTACATGAGCCACCACGCCTGGCCACAGTAAATTATATTGTATGTTTCAGTCATAGAAATTAATATTTAATTTCACATACCTGCAAAAACAATCTTTGCTTTGTATTTCTGAATGCCCTTCACGGTATAGCCCCACCTACGAGCTAGTTTACAGGCAGTCTCTCCAGCCTCCACTCCTATCAGGGGAGAAAAATGTTTGGATTTTTTAAAATGTTAAACTATCAAAAAATAAAAAGGTTATTTTTGAGGGTATTTAACAAAAAAAGGAAATGTTTTACCTGTATTCATAGGAAGAACTTTCTGGTAGTTGAAAAGTTTAGTAATATACTCCTCATATTCACCAAGTACGTTATTATAGAAAGCTCTAGATGTTAAGGTCAATTTGTCCACTTGACTCTTCAGCGCATTCACAATCTTGGGGTGACAATGCCCTTGGCTGACAGCACTGTAAGAACTCAGGAAGTCAAAATATTTTCTGCCTTCTACATCCCATAAGTAAATACCTAAATACATAAGAAAGGAAAATTATTTTAGACAATTACTATGTGGCATGAAGTCCAAAGATTAAGAGTGCTAGCAAGCCCGCTGAATGCCTACATATGAACCTCTATTTATATATCTGTAGTTATATATATATATATAGTTATATGTAGTTATATATATATATGTCGTATTTATATATTTGTAGTTAAAGCTTGTTTTAGCTCAGGCATAATAAACTTTGATTTGTAAGGAATTATTAAGAATTGTATTTTGTCTGCCTGGCTTCAAAATACACATTTAACAAAAATAACACAAAAAGGTTATAAACTCTGGAGTAAAACCTTTACCTAATTCTAAAATTTAGGACCCAAAATTAGAATTTAAGAGGAGAAGTTAGGCCAGGAGCCATGGCTCACGCCTGTCATCCTAGCACTTTGGGAGACCAAGGCAGGGATCGCTTGAGCCCAGGAGTTCCAGATCAGCCTGGACAACACAGCAAAACCCTTGACTCTACAGAAAAATGCCGGGCATGGGTATGGTCCCAGTTACAGAGATTGAGGTGGGAGGACTGCTTGAGCCTGAGAGGTAGAGGATCCAGTGAGTTGAGATTGTGCCACTGCACTCCAGCCTGGGCACCAGAGCAAGATCCTGCCTATAAATAAAATAAAATAAATAAATAAAATTTTAAAATAAAAAAGCAGAAGTTATACATAACAGACAAAAATTATGAGAAATCGTCTATAATAACCCTTAGGATGGAAAAAAAAAATTGTAAATCATGTGTCTGATAAGATCTAACTTCCAGAACTCTTACAACTCAATTTCAAAAGGACAAACAACCCAATTTAAGAAATGAAGAAAGACTTGAATAGCTGTTTCTTCAAAGAAGATATACAAATGGCTAAGAAACACGTGAAAAGATGTTCAACGTCACTAATCATTAGGAAAATGCAAGTTAAAATCACAATGAGATACCATCTCACACTCCCTGAGATGGTTATAATTAAAAAAAACAAGTTTTGACAGGATCTGAAGAAATTGGCACTCTCATGCATTGCTAGTGGGAAAGTAAAACAATGTTGCCGTGTCATGTAATATGAAACAGATTTTCCATAGTTCAAAAGAAGATATGTCTATAATACTGGCACCAAATAAAATACAGGCAAATGACAAAAATGTGTGATACTCTTATATTGTCATTTTCTGGTACAAAGCTAAGTAATAAATTTTGGTTTTATTTGGTTAAGGCTGTTATTTATTCCAAATTGTAGATTAAATCACCATTTGGCAACTATCACAGTAATCATTTATTCAGGCAAGAATCATTAGTGGATGCTAAAATTGTGTGTAAAAGTTCATGAGTAACTGGGTATTTACAGAGTTTTACACTCTGTCCCCACAAGATACTTAACACAAAGGGAAAGAAGACCAAGACAAACAAGAAGAATTGAGGAACTGTTCTGGGTTAAAGAAGACTAAACATGACAACTGAATGCAACTCATCGGAGGTTTTTCTTTTGTTATAAAAGAGAACAAACAACATCTGGATTAGGTCTCCAGACTCACGGTGCTGTACCAGTGTTAAGTTCTTGATTCTTACAATTACTCTATGGTTATAAAAGAGAAAGTCAGCTGGGCACAGTGGCTCACACCTGCAATCCCAGCACTGTGGGAGGCTGAGGCGGTAGGATCACTTGAGACCAGGAGTGATCTCAACACAGGCAAAATCTAATCTCTACAAAAAAAAATACTTGGGAAGCTGAGGTGGGAAAATCACCTGAAGCCAGGAGTTCCAGGCTACAGTGAACCATGATCGCCACTGTACAGCACCACTGTACTCCAGCCTGGGCAACAGAACGAGACCCTATCTCAAAAAGTCATTGTGTTTTAGGAAAGACACACTAAGTATCTATGGGTAAAGAAATGTCATGTGGCAGGGCGCGGTGGCTCATGCCTATGATCCCAGCACTTTGGGAGGCTGAGGCGGGTGGATCACCTGAGGTCAGGAGTTCAAGACCAGCCTAGCCAACATGATGAAACCCTGTCTCTACTAAAAATATAAAAATTAGCTGGACGTGGTGGTGTGGGCCTATAGTCCCAGCTACCCAGCAGGCTGAGGCAGGAGAATCACTTGAACCCGAGAGGTAGAGGTTATAGTGTGCCAAGATCACGCCATTGCACTCCAGCCTGAGCAACAAGAGTGAAACTTCTTATCAAAAAAAAAAAAAAAAAAGAGACGTCATGTATGGCCAGCGGTGGTTCACACCTGTAATCCCAGCACTATGGGAGGCCAAAGCGAGTGGATCACCTGAAGTCAAAAGAGTTGGAGAGCAGCCTGGCTAACATGGTGAAACCCCATCTCTATTAAAAACACAAAAATCAGCCAGGTGTGGTGGCACGTGCCTGTAATCCCAGCTACTTGGAGGCTGAGGTGTGATAATCGCTTGAACCCATGAGGTAGAATTTGCAGTGAGCCAAGATCGTGCCACTGCACTCCAGCCTGGGTAACAAAGTGAGGCTCCATCTCAAAAAAGGAGAGTCATGTCTGCAACTTCCTCTCAAAACAGGTCAGAAAACAATGTACAATATGCAGGCGTGGGAGGAGAGAAAAGAAGGGAGTGAATACACTAAGACCAAAGCAGTAAAACGTTAGCACTTGGAAAATCTGGGAGAAGAGTAAAAGAAAAATAGTACTATTTGTTACGTTTCTTAAGTCTAAAATTACGCCAAAATAAAAGTTAAAAGAAAAAAATGACAGCAATATGACCGTACTTTCCTTATTTCTCTTGCATTCCCTCTTGGTAAGGTCCACATGACAAAGACAATGGTTTCTCTTTGAAGCCTCCATAGCACCTAACACAGCAGCACTAGACACTCAATAAATGAATTAACTGGCCGGGTGCAGTGGCTCACACCTGTAATCCCAGCACTTTGGGAGGCCAAGGTGGGAGGATCACAGAGTCAGGAGTTCGAGATCAGCCTGGCCAACACGGTGAAACTCCATCTCTACTAAAAATACAAAAATTAGCCGGGTGTGGTGGCGCATGCCTATAGTCCCAGCTACTCAGGAGGCTGAGGCAAGAGAATCGTTTGAACCTGGGAGGCAGAGGTTTCAGTGAGCCCAGATTGTGCCACTGTACTCCAAACTGGGTGACAGAGTGAGATTCCGTCCCAAAAAAAACAAAGCAAAACCAAAAAAAAAGAATTAACTGTGTCTGCAATATATACATTAAATACATCTAGAAAAATGTATATTGAGAAAATATGGAAGCAATTTTTTTTAATAAAAGGTTTCAAGAAAAGGGAAGAGACGGATTAATTTGAAACGTACCTTTTCCTCTCTCCACGGCTACAGGTAAAGGATGGTAGTTGTGCGCACCATACTTATATTCCCTTTCAAAAATGTCTTCAGAGGTTGGAGGGCCTTGGACTGTTTTTTTAGTTGCAACAGATGTAGCAGAAGCCACTGAAGAATGAACTCCTCGACTAAGTACAGCAAACCTCTGCAAATGTGCTAGTTTGGAAAACATTGTGTCCTTCAAGCAGAAAAACCAGATCTGTCCAAAGAAAAGAGAATGCATTAAGAGTGAGAATCCTTGGCTTATGCCTATAATCTTAGTACTTTGGGAGGCTGAGGCCAGAGGATCACATGAGCCCCGGAGTTTGAGACCAGCCTGGGCAACACAGCAACACTCCATTACCACAAAAAATTGAAAAATTAGCTGGGTGTAGTGGTGTGCACCTGTAGTCCCAGCTACTTGGGAGACTGAGGTGGGAGGATTGCTTGAGCCTGGAAGTTGAGGCTGCAGTGAGCTGAGACTGTGCCACTGTACTCCAATCCAAGAGACAGAGCAAGGCCCAGTATCAAGAAAAAAAAAAAATAGCCAGGCGCAGTAGCTCACATCTGTAATTCCAGCACCTCGGGAGGCCAAGATGGGAGGATTGCTTGAGCCAAGGAGTTAAAGACCAGCCTGGGCAACACAGTCTCTATAAAAGAAAAAAAAAGAGTGAGAATCTTGGTGGTTTGTGCCTGTAGCCCCCAGCTGCTCAGGAGGCTGAAGCAGGAGGGTCACTTGAGTCCAAGAGTTTGAGGCCAGCCTGAGCAACAGAGTGATACCCTGTCAATCAGTCAATCAATCAACCAATCAGTAAGAGTAAGACTCTTTCCAGAGCTAATGAACTGTGTGTTGACTGAATATCTACTAAACACTAAGTATTTGTTAAGCGCCTACCACAGTTCAATACCATCAGGCACGATGCTATGAGACAGCTACAATCGTAGGCCAGAGACCAGAGGCAGGGAAACCAAATCAGAGAAGACTGCCAGAGACTAGGCATGGGGCAGGAGACAGCGGGACTGACAACTCATTTGTCCTTCTATATGGAGAGTGAAGCAATTAAGGTAGAATTTGGTTTCTACCAAAATAAAAGGGACCATCCTAAAATAAAAACAACAGGTGTGGAGAGGAAAAAGTTGACTTCTGGGGTATGGGAATTGCTTAACACCAAAGATCTAAACTACAAAAAGTCAAATCTTTTTTTTTTTTTTTCGAGGGTGGAGAGGACAGGGTCTCACTCTGTCATCCAGGCTGGAGTGCAGTGGTATGATTACGGTTCACTGCAGCTTCAATCTCCCTGGCTCAAGCAATTACCCGACCTCAGCCTCTCTAGTAGCTGGGACTACAGGCGGGCACCACCACACCCAGCTAATTTCTGTATTTTCCGTAGAGATGGGGGTCTTGCCATGTTTCCCAGACTGGTCTTGAACTCCTGGGCTCAAGCAATCCGCCCACCACAGCCTCCCAAAGTTTTCGAATTAAAGGTGTGAGCCACTGTGCCCAGCCTAAAGTCTTTTATTTAGCCACAAATATCTAAAACTTCTGTAGGTCAAATTTATCATCAAGGTGAAAGGCAAAAAGACTAGGAAAAGAATGCTAACTTATAATAGCTTTAAAGTGTTCATAGTAAGTTGAATTAGACCAAACACATACATACGTACATAAATACACACATACACACACACACATATATATAAGATTCCCAAACAAAACAATCTATTCTGCTAGGATGGTTGTTTCTACAAAACTTATCCTCAAAAAATTGTAGCATAAAAGCTATTGTTGGCCGGGTGCAGTGGCTCATGCCTATAATCCCAGCACATTGGGAGGTCCAGGCAGGCAGATCACCTGAAGTCGGGAGTTTGAGACCAACCTGACCAACATGGAGAAACCCCATCTCTACTGAAAATACAAAATTAGCCAGGCGTGGTGGTGCATGCCTGTAATCCCAGCTACTCAGGAGGCTGAGGCAGGAAGATCGCTTGAACCTGGGAGGCCGAGGCTGCAGTGAGCCAAGATTGCACCATTGCACTCCAGCCTGGGCAACAAGAGTGAAACTCTGTCTCAAAAAAAAAAAAAAAAACTATTGTTAGCAAAAGGTAACTGAGAACTACAGAGTGTCAAACTACAAACTACAATCTGTTACTTGTATGAGCCTTAAAGTCTAAACATCACTGAGCAGGCTGGTGTTTGCCCTGCCACCCCATCACATAAGGCAGAGTCAGGGCTACTCTCTCAGTCATCCCCAGCCCTAAAACCAGCCCCTCCACAAGGCTTCACACACCTCTTTGTACCCAATTTACCATTAAGCATCCTGATAAGCCATGAAGTAAAAACTAAACTACGAAAGAAACTAACAATTAAAAGGAAATTAGAGCACGTGCATAGGAATCACCTCTGGAAGGAAGAAATAAAAAAAAAAAGGCTTAAAGATAAATTCATGATTAGGAGAAAGTTGCCAAAAACTAGGCATATTTATTCTATCTATACTTACTTTCTAAAAGACTAGTTAGGCCGGGCGCGGTGGCTCAAGCCTGTAATCCCAGCACTTTGGGAGGCCGAGACGGGCGGATCACGAGGTCAGGAGATCGAGACCATCCTTGGCTAACACGGTGAAACCCCGTCTCTCTAAAAAATACAAAAACTAGCCCGGGCGACGTGGCGGGCGCCTGTAGTCCCAGCTACTCGGGAGGCTGAGGCCGGAGAATGGCGTGAACCCCAGAGGCGGAGCTTGCAGTGAGCTGAGATCCGGCCACTGCACTCCAGCATGGGCGACACGAGCGAGTCTCAAAAAAAAAAAAAAAAAAAAAAAAAGACTAGTTAATTCATGTTTCAACAGAAGTCTACCAATGACAAGTCAAACCATGTATAATCTCACAGCACTCTTGATTTGAGCTGCCAAATTAGCAAAACATAATACTTGGAGTTTGGCTTACTTCCCTTTAAACTTGGCACTACCCAATAAATCCAGCATGTTCAAGAATTTGCAATTACTAAACAAAATCCAGCACTCCAGTTTGCCAAAGACTCACCGACTATTTTTTCTTCCCACGGTTCAGACCAGAATACAGATTTTTAACCCACGATCCAGGGACAGTCTGCAGAGAGTCCAAAATCTCCTGAAATAAAATGCAGAATTATATGCAGACTCATATTTTTCCAAGGGGAAGGTCCATAACTTTCATCAGACTTTATCTCAAAGGGGTAGGTACCAACAATCAAAAAAAAAGTGATGTAAGAATCATCAAACTGGAGGTAGCTGCTAGTGAAAATGTCTAATCGTACCATACAGAGCTTCCCCAAAATACTACTGCGAAGCCTAAAATACTCATATATGATTTCCTTCTTGGGCTCTTTATGCTTTACTCAGTATGAATTGTTTGATCAACTAAAAAATTAGAATATTAATTTTTGCCTATCAAATTAGCAGTAAAACACTCAGGCAATACTTAGTGGTGCTCTAAACTGTAACAACTTTCTAGGGCCAGGCATGGTGGCTCACGCCTATTATCCCAGCACTTTGGGAGGCCAAGGCAGATCACTTGAGCCCAGGAGTTAAAGATCATGGGGAGACCGTCTCTATAAAAAATACGAAAATTAGCCAGGTGTGGCGGCATGTACCTGTAGTCCCAAGTAGTCAGGAGACTAAGGTGGAAAGATCTCTTGAGCCTTGAGTTCTGGGCTGCAGTGAGCCACGATCTATGCCACCAGCACTCCAGCCTGGGCAATAAAGTGAGACCGTGTCTCAAAATATATATATATCTTGAGATTATCTAAATTCAACATTCTTATTTTATATAAAAGTTATCTGCACAGCTAATTTCCAACAGAAATGGAATGAAAAATTCATTTACCTGTCAAGTTTAGGCAGTTTTATTAAAGAGTAACTGGTGACAAAATAATAAGATTCAAAACATTACTAATACTCATTCTCAAGGTTTTTGCTTCTTTTCACTTACAGATGGAGTCTCAGCTATGTTGCCCAAGTTGGCCTCAAACTCAAGGGATCCTTCTGCCTCAGCCTCAGGAGGAGGTGGGACCACAGGCGTACACCACTGGGTCAGCTATTCTTAAGGTTTTTAAGATGAAGTCTGGATATTTAATTCGACTGGGAAAGGTCAGAAACTAGATGTGCCTTGACATATCAAAATCCTGTAAATGCATTTCTATTAAAGAACCTTTTGTGTTCAAGTTACTGTGCTTGGCACTGTATGAGAAATCTTACAGCAGAATTAAGATGGACTTGAAAATAGCCAACATCAATAATATCCTCTTCCCCAGAGGTTTCAAAACCAGGAGAATCAAGTGGAAAATACAGAGTTTGGAGACCAGGATTTTAAATTCTGTCTGTGGTTCTTAAGAGCAACTCTGGGTGATGCTGTCAATCTTTCTGAGCTTCAATTTCCCCATTTGTAAAATGAGGTTGAAGCGTTACTGAGGATTCAATGGGTTAATGTTATTGTGCCAAATCCAGCACAAAATGGCCACTCAGTTCCCTTTTGCCCTTAAAACTAGCCAGTTTCTGAAATATCAGAATCAACAGTGCCATGATTTCTTTTTAAAACTGTTTAAAAAGACACACACACACACACACCATTTTTCAGTTGATAAAAAATTAGAAAACACAGACAAGAAAACTACCTGCAATTTTACACTTGCATGACAACCATTAACATTTGGTTATTTTTTCTAGGCATAATTAGCATCCACATTAGCTTTTTTTCACCCTTCCCTATAGAAGTTACCATTTAAGTGCCTCCTAAAGACTCCCCGGGACTGTGCAGACTTGTAACGGGTCCTAACACTTCAGGCCACTTGTTTTTATGCCTGTAAGTCTATACTCTAAGCTCCTTTAAAAAACAGTAAAATTCACTTTGCATTCCTAGAACCTAGCCCAGGTCAGGCATCCTGTGGGCCTTTGTCTAATAAACGAGGTCAGTCTTACTTAGGACTCCTGAGGGAGTCAAGGTAGCAAGTGATCAAGACTATGGGATCACCTATCCCTGACCAAGTTGAGTCTAACTCTAAGAGGGGGTGTTCACTGTCTGACCTCATCTAGAAGAACTCATCTCTTCATCAAGAGTTTACTTCATTAGATCTAATGGCCTTTAAAGGTCAAAATAATGTGTTCCAGGTTGCTATCATGCATCTACCTGAGGCCCATACTCAGGTCCAGGAAATGAGAACAAATTGCTCTTGGCAAGCTAGAATTCTAACACTGAAGGTTTCATCCACATAATTAACAGAGTCCTTCAGGCTACCATTACTCTCTCCATCTAGCCCATCCATCTACATTAGAACACACCTACAGTAGAATTTCCACAAAAGGCTCCATTTTGAAATTAATTTAGCCTATGCTCTTAAAAACTATTTTCTTACTCTAAAAGAATAGTCAGTGTAAAGTCATCCAAAAGCCACTTAAAATATTCAACTTGAGGAGTAAATTTGTTCTTGCTATTTTGACAAATATTTACTTTTCCTGAGGTAACCATTCACAAACACAGGCCTTTTAAAAAAAAAAAAAGTTCTACCAACAGAAGTCTCTTTTACGTAATCAGTATTCTGGCTAAAATTCAAGTCAAGTGCATCATTGGCAAACAACTAGTTTTACTACTCAGAAAGGATTGGGGTCAACTACAGCACATCCTCCACACACATCCAAATTCGGTGCTTTCATCACTATTTGTAAATGTTTGAGATTTGACTGGTCCTGAAGAACTCACTAAAGGGCATAAAATATGCACACAAATAACTGTAATAAAGGCAAGCTATGGGATAATACAAATTAAGACAGTTGCTTTGAAGGAAAAAAATGTCTTTTAAAAAAGTTTACTATTTAAAGTTATACTGGGTTTTTCTTTGGGAGGGGGGATGCAAAACTAATCTTAAACACCATGAAAAACTGCAAACCCAAAACTATAATGTTTTTTTTTTTTTTTTTTTTTTGAGACGGAGTCTGTCGCCCAGGCTGGAGTGCAGTGGCATGATCTCAACTCCCTGCAAGCTCTGCCTCCCGGATTCAAGCAATTCTCCTGCCTCAGTCTCCCGAGTAGCTGGGATTACAGGCGCGCACCACGATGTCTGGCTAATTTTTGTATTTTTAGTAGAGATGGGGTTTCACCATGTTGGCCAGGCTGGTCTCAAACTCCTGGCCTCAGGTGATCCGCCTGCCTGGGCCTCCCAAAGTACTGGGATTACACAGGTGTGAGCCACCGTGCCTGGCCAAAAATAAGCTTTTTAATTTAACTCTTGTTTTTATGAAAAGACTCATCTAAAGACAGAACCAGGATACTCTAATGAAAGGAGTCTATTGTTATTTCACATGGATAAGAGTGATGGATTACAATCTAAAGAACAGTTCCGGGGTTAACTGAAAGAACTAGCTTATCCACAGAAACCCTTTCAATCCTAGACGAAGAAATTTAGAATTTAGAAACTGAACACTAGTCATTTCTTAAGGTAAAGCCACTTCATTCCAAAGTCACTCTCTTTTCCCCCTTATCACCGTAATTTATCTAAGAAGTAAAACAACACCAAAAAGGTAAGACGTAGAGTGACAAAAGGAGACGGTGGGTCACAGGGTGAGTGCCCAGGTGACTTCGGGCCTCAGTCCTCTCGCCAGCAAAGGGTGGAAAATGACCCCTCCCGTCCGGCCCGGGAAGGCAACCGAGGAAAGACACCGGTCAGGCCCATTTATTGATGCTCAGCAGGATTTGCAAAAAGCCCTCAAAGGGAGGTTTTCATGCTGAAAATCCTGTTGCCCCCCATTCCCCACCATCTAATTAACCTGCACATTACTGTAAGGAAGGTTCTGCTTCCGTAATTTTCTTTATTTCGACAGAAGCTGGAGGAAAAAAATCATAGGCTGGAAGAGGGGAGCGACGGGCAGGCCGATCTGCAGGGCGCAGAAGCAGGCCAGGAGGACCCAGCCCTCCAAGGCTGCATCAGCGCCCCCGCCGCGTGACCAGGGCCACCTGTTTACTGCACGTCCCCAGAACGCAGCCTCCCCGCCGACCCCAGGAACCGAGAGTGCCCAAAGGCCTCCTCCCCGGAACCCCGGGGCGCCTCGGGGTCTCCGGGCCGGGTGAGCCGAGTCCTGGCCTCCACAGGCCGCGAGCGCAGGGGGCGGCGGCTCCGCCTGGTCTGGCAGGCGGAGCTGCCACATCTTCAGCCTCTCCCTGCCTCCCGCCCCACCCGCCCGCCAGTCGGCCGCTCTGGGCTGGAACCAGTACTCGGGCCTGCAAGCCGTGGGGCGCCACGCCCCTGCCACCTGAAGATGCGCGACTGCCGGCGACTCCAGGGCGCCCGGGTCCGAGCCGCCCGCAGAGTAAACCGGCCGCGGGAGCGGCACTCGTTCCCCGGCCGAGGCCCAGCGCGCCCCGTCAGCCAGCATCCCCAGAACCCCGGCCGCGGCCACCCCGAGCCCGCCCACCTCCCCCGCCGCCATCAGGGAACCCCGGCCAGGGCCCAAGCCAGAGCGCCAAGACTGCGGCGCCCGGGCGGTACCTGACGACGCCTGACTACAACCCGGGACACGCGGCGTCTACGAAGCGCAGCGGCGACGCCAGCGCGTCACTGCAACTTAAAGGCTGATTCCGTCCCGCCCCCAAGTCGCCCTCGCCGCTCATTGGCTGGAGCGGAGGGCAGGGCACCAATCGCGTGGGCCCCGTCCTCCGCCCCGCCTGCCCCGCCGCGCATCAGGGATCTTTGCTCCTCCCGCGGGTTGGATCCGCGCTCGCGCCTCCTGAGCCCGAAGGCCTGTCTCTGAGCTCAGGCCCCTCGGTCGCCTCCTCTGGCGGGACGAGAAGGGTCATTGTCCGCCCTTGCCGACTAGAAGACTGAGGCCCGAAAAGGAAAAGTCTTTTGGGCCCCCTGCGCGGGCCGAGTGTGGCTGGAGACCGAGAGACGTGAGGCTGGACCGCCCGCCCTGTGCTCCCGGAGGGAGGGACCAGCCCCAGCTCTGCCCCAGCCACAGCTGCGGGAGCCCCATGCCCTTGAACCCTGATGCGCCGCGCAGCTTAGTTGTGCCTCTGAATCCACCTCCAAAAGTCGTCGCTGCCTATGGAAAACACACTGCCCACCTGTTCGCAGCTGCTGTCAGATAATTGAGTGGCAGCAACCCACTCAGAGTACAGATTTGCCTGTGGTGCCCTCTGCAACCGATTATTAAATTCAGAACACAAAATAGATATTCCGGGACAATCTCATGTTAGAATTGGAAGGGACTTGGATTTCACTTAGCCCACAACATTTATGTTAAATATTGGAAAACAGAGACCCAGAGAGGGAAAGCGACTTAACCCAGTCATCCAACAGTAGGGGCAGTCTGTTCCTGTGTGCCCCTCGGCACCCCTCTCAGAGGGCAGGCACTGGCAGCTGCTGGCACCACATTCCATTAGACCACAGTGACCAGTCAGGGGCCCAGCTGGAAACAGAGGACACACTCCAATGTGAACATTTCCTAAAACGTGGTGGTGGGGGCCCGTGGCTCACGCCTGTAATCCCAGCACTTTGGGAGATCGAGGCAGGAGGATTGCTTGATCCCAGGAGTTCCAGACCAGCCTGGGCAACACAGTGAGACCCCGTCTCCACAAAAAAATTAAAAATTAATCTGTGTGGTGGCACACCTATGTTCCCAGCTAATCCAAAGGCTGAGGTGGGAGGATCACTTGAGCCCAGGAGGTTGAGGCTGCAGTAACCTATGATTGCACCACTGCACTCCAGCCTGGGCAACAAAGCAAGACCATCTTAATCAACCAATCCATCAATCAGTGTAGGCAAGTAAACCACAAGGGATGGAGAAATAACCAGGATCTCATGCACCAGGGAGGGCCATTATCCACCCTAGGCCTAACGGCCTCCAAGAGGAGTTTCCAGAATTCCAGAACCCAAAGAGAGGAGTGTGGGAAAGGCTATCTGGTCACCAAAGTCATCAGCAACTGCATGGGAAGGAGCTGGATAATGAGCATCTCCTGTCAGGCTTCCACATGGGCTGAAGCCATTAGGAGGCCGGAGGCCAGGGGAGCCCTTTAAGACAGGTCAGCCTCCTAGGACACACAGCAGGGTGGAAAAGGGTGGAGACGGGGTAGGGAAGCAGTTGGAAGACATTCAACACACATAACTGGCTAAGATAAGTCGTAGCTAAGCAGAAAGTAAAGTCCATGCTAAATGGTAGGGGTAAGAAAGTGATACGGGTGCAGAGCTGTGAACAGCAGAGCCAACATCTGCAGATGTACAGAACAAGACACCAAAAGGGATTCAGTCCTCCTGGGCTCCATCTGCCCTAGACAAAGGTCATTCTCTCAGACTGTTGTGGCCATGGGCTCTCTGGAACTCACTGAGAGCAGAACGTTGCCTGTTATTTCTTTGATGTTCCTCCACAGCACCCAATACAATGTGATTAACTTCTTGGAAGTTAGGTTATTCCACCTAAGGGGTCAGAAAGGAATGGTTTCTCCAGGGTCGTGCTCTATAAACCTGGGCAGGTATGTGGGGCCATGCCCAGCTCTTGGAACTCTTATAAAGCCCAAGACTCCCCAGTTATGCCTTGTCTAGGAGGAGCAGGTGAGTTCAGGAGAAGCACATGACACCCAGGATCCAGGGGTAACACAAAGTACGTTACAATGTCTTTGGGCTCACAGATAAGGCGCTCTTTAAGGAGTTTCATGTGCAAGAAATTGCTGGAAATGTCTGGGTTTTATCTCTTTCCTCTTATCAGAAAAATGCAATAGGTCCAGAGAGCATGATAACATTTTATGGTTTCAGTACTAGAGTTGTTTTGCAGCATAATGTGGCCTTGACAGGGAGATCTGAACTTGAAAGCTGCTTCTTTTCAACCAAGAAACAGAGCTGCTTTATTTGTATGTATTTTATTTGTACAATCTAGAAACATAAAGTTAAAGTGTACATTACAAAGATTTTTGAGTCTCTAAAACTATTAATAATTCAAGTAATTAACTATATGGGGGCCAGAAAACCTGAGGATATAAAGAGTGGCCCTCAGGCTGGGCACAGTGGTGCATGCCTGTAATCCCAGCTACTCGGGAGGCTGAGGCAGGAGAACTGCTTGAACCCGGGAGGCGGAGGTTGCAGTGAGCCGAGATCGCGCCATTGCACTCCAGCCTGGGCAACGAGAGCGAAACTCCGTGGCTCTCATAACAGACATCCAAGACCTAAATTCATTTCATCAGTTCATTCGACAAATGTCCCTTGAGTGCCTCAGGTGTCTGACCTTGCGAGAGGTTTCACATCATCAGGCAACACCATGTGAGTCCTTTTGTTTGCTTGCTTGTTTGTTTTTTGAGACAGAGTCTTGCTCTGGCGCCCAGGCTGGAGTGCAGTGGCATGGTCATGGCTCGCTGCAACCTCTGCCTCCTGGATCCTCCCACCTCAGCCTTCTGAGTAACTGGGACTTCAAGCGCATGCTGCTACGCCCAGCTAATTTTTGTATCTTTTTGGTAGAGACGGGGTTTCACCGTTGTCCAGGCTGGTCTTGAACTCCTGGACTCAAGCAATCTGCCTGTCTCTGCCTCTCAAAGTGCTGGGATTACAGGCATGAGCCACCTTGCCCGACCCATATTAGTTTCTTCAGTAAGTAGGGAGAAGTTCCAGAAACGTTCCTTTAACAGGCGTGAACAAAAATCTTGCAACGTTGGGAATCTAAAAAAGCTGCAACTGTATTTTAAAAAAGGAAAGCAGCATTGATTTTCTTATACAGACAAGCCTCTATTTTTTAGTGGCTAGAAAAACAACGCATGGGCTATGCAGGTCTCTTGCTTTGCATTGCTTCCTTCATCGTCCCACTTGTCCTGACTTCTTATTAGTATAGCCTGCATATACCTGGGCTTCAAATGATTAAAAAGGAAAATCCAAGCTGACAGCCAAGGAGGAAAACTGTTAATGACACAGAGAAAATAAGTGTTTGGTGAT